TTAGACCATCTGTGTGGGATAAAATCTCAGTGTGAACAGAGCTGTCCTTTGAAAGTATTTTTTTCTGAATTTTTTCACAAAAAAGAAGAAACACAGCTCTTAGGTCAGGGGTGAAGTTACTGTGATTTTTAAAGAACAGCAATCTTATAAAGCTGTATTTGAAGCTGTAAACATCTCACTTTAAACTGCTTATCCCAACCAAAACACGGCGGTGGAAGAATCATGCAAATGTGGCGCATTTCTTTAGAATGGATAGAGGCTGCTGATTAGTGGCTGCAAATGGCTTGATGCAAAGGTGAAGCTTCCAGCAGGATTATAACCCCAAGCATACAGTGGTTTAGAGTAGTGTTTCCCAACCTTTTTTGAATTGTGTACCCCTTTTGGGCATTTTGTCTTACCATAAGTACCCTCTCAGTCAAAAGTATTGATAATAGTCCAACAGTGGAGCGTACAATAACTGAAATTTAGGCTATTTTACTTAATCTTTTAATTCGAATTTTTAATTTTTATAATTTAATGTTTTCCATCTGAAATAAAAAAAACATAAATCGTAAATATGCTGCCTGAAATTCAGTAAGGAATCAAAATAAATATAAAATAAAATAATATTATAAACCTGTATTTATAAAACTGGAGCAGAGCAAAATGCAGAGCAAAAATTATAGTCAGACTGACTTAATTAGTTTTACTCTGTTTTCATCAAGACACCTGAGCTGCTTTGATGTGCTCCTATAGCTCAGTGTTAAAAACAGCAGATCCCAGGCTGTTTCCACATCCAGTCTGTTCCTCTACTCCGTTTGGATGTTTGTCACAGCTCAAGATGAGTTCAAACATATAAGAAAACTTACTTTTTGATTAATACAATCTTTTTTAATTTATAAATGTGGTCCTCACTAAGCAAAACTGATCCCTATTTTATTTTACTACCTAAGAAATAAAATATTTTCATGTACCCTTAGAATGCACTCGCAAACCACTAAGGGTACACGTACCCCAACCCCTGGTTGGAAAACACTGGTTAATAGGGGACTATATGCATGCACTTACAGAAGAATGGACCAATCCCAGTTCAGAACTAAATCCAACAGATAATTACATGTATGTGTACCTGTAGTCTGACTTTGCTTTTATGTTAGAAAGAACGGGCAACATTTCCTTTGACTAGATCCACAGAATACCTTCATGTGTAAAAGAAGTCTTATTTATTTTTTTTATGTGTTTTCCATTTTCACATACGTGTATTTTTTATGATCCACAATGCAGGAATTGAAATTGTTTGGATTATTTTTTATACTTTTTTGGTTGGAGGCTTTGTATAAACCCAGTTTTGTCTCTTCCTCAACTGGTAGTGTTATTCCCCTTTGAAATAATTTGTTTTATATGTTAATCGTTCAGAAAAAACTAAAATTGTTAAATATATTTAGAAAATGTTATGGGAGTTTTGTAAGTTTGCTTTAGTCATAAATTATGACTCATTGTTATGACTCATATCCCTCGTCTTTCAGCCCTCAGGACCCGGATTCCTCTTTACAAAACATTCTTTAGTCAATTATTGAAAAAGTCATAGTTTTACTTGCAAATGTCATCTTATCAACAAACCATGCTGGATTTTAGAGCTAAATGGTGCATGTGGATGACATTTCACTGTTGGATATTCCAGATAGTTATACAAGAAAGATTTATGTGTCCTTCAGCGTTTGCTTTTCGTAAAATCTCTGTAAAATCTAATTTATATAGTTTTTTCTTTGTTTCTTTGGAAATTCTTTAAACAAAAAATAGGAATTTATTCAGCTTGGCAGTGACTTTTCTTAGAGCTTTTTAAATGAAAAGGGAGCAAAGTTTTGTAGTTCTTTAAATTTAGCAATACATTTTAATATTTACAAATGAAAAGCATGACAATGAAATACATCCTCTTATAGCTAATCTTATTGTCAAGGGATTTATTTTCTGGGCAAAAGGTTCTTAAGTTTTTGGGCATTTTATGCATTTGATTTACTCAGAAAACAGAGTAAAATTATCCAGAGTGAACACAGTCCATTAAACCACTGATTCCAGTCACTCCCAGAAGACAGTTGCCAAAAGAGACAAGCAATGCCAGGAGACAGGTGAAGTGGTTATAAATGACAAGTGAGTGTGCCCAAGGGGCAAATGTACCGTCGTTCACAGTCCTAGAAAAAAAAGAAGGCTACACGGTGTGAGAGTATGCAGTGAGTCTGCTCCACTGTGCTTGTCTCTCTGTGTGGGGACACAGAGGGAGATGAGGTTAGTGTAAGTGATGGTTAATTTGAGCACTCGCTGTCGGACGCCGAGGCTGCCTTTCTCCGCCCCCAAGCCACCTGTTACTGTGTTATAACTGCAGTCTGTGCATGTGAATGCACATGTGTGCCGCTTGTAAATACAGCAGTGTGAAAACAGGAGACATGTGACCAGTCTGCCGTGTTTTGATAGTACACCCTGGCTGTTACCAGAACAGTAAGAGGAGCCAGAGGAAACCACTAGTCTTGTGCGCCTATAGTCTTAAGGGTCTTTTCCAAATGTGTTTAGCTATAATAAACCTCTCCAGAGATATACAGTGTCAGGAAAAAGCATCGATATTCCTTAAAGTGTTCCACATTTGGCCAAGTGGAAAGAAAAAGATGATTCGCAAAAAGACATTTCAAAGTGTTGCAATTATTCAGTTTTAAATTGAGTCCAACACTCAACCCCCCCACTTAAATTTTGACAAAAAGGTTGTCTTTTGGGCCTTTATACAAAATGAGATGTGTAGCAAATGCATGTCCATGTGTTAGATGGTTCAGTCAACATAGAACAGAATCTAAAAAACCTAAAGGATGCGCCACATCTAGTGTTACTGAGTTTAATTATTTTGCAAAGAGAAACAGTGAAACATATCAATCTTTAGATGCTAACAGGTAGAAAAAAAAGGAACCCTACACATTCAGTTTTGCTAGTATTCCTAACTGAATATCACTTCAGTTGGTCTATGATGTGAAACAATAAAATGCAATTAAGAAATGTAAAATATACGAGGTGGATGAATGAATGGGCCAATTTATGCAAGGGACCAATGATCAGAAAAGCAGTAACAATGTATGTAGATGCTAAATTAAGAACAGGTTGCTTTAATGCTATACTAAGATTATCAAATTGATGTATCCAATACTGGATATTGATGTTAATCAGACTAAATAAGGACTTCTATTCTATTCTCTCTTGAACATCTTTGTTAATCTGTAATTGTTATTGGAAGGGAACACCTATGTGGTGTGACAATGGTTTATCTGTCTCTCCATTCAGAATCCATTTGTAAAGAAAAACGGCTGCTCCTCTGCATTTTTCTTTTTATCAACCCTCCATGCTTCTCTCTGTTTCTATCACAATGTGGGCTCTAGTAAAGGTCCCCTGCAGAATGTAATCAGTGTAATCAACTTTCCCAGGGGCCATCGTACCTCCATTGTATGGTCTCCATTATGGCTCTACGCAGCAGGATGCTTGTTATTGCCTTTCTTCTGGTTGATAGGCCAGAAAAAAGGAGCTGAAAGAGTGGCATCTAATTTGATTTTAGAGAACACAAGTTGCTCGTCTCACCAGTCTTCTCTACCTTTTTCCTCCTATTCAGCTTTCCAGCCTAAACCCTGATCTTTCTGTGTCTTTTAGCAAGCTGCCCAGCTGGGCTCGAGCAGTGGTTCCTAAAATTTTCTATGTCACAGAGAAGGCTTGGAACTATTACCCATACACCATCACAGGTAATAACACTTTCGCTACATGTCAGCTACAGATGGATCTAAACAAGAACATTTTTCCAATTATTTTAATGTTTTTATCAAATGCCGACACACTAGAACTTTTTAACTTTGCCTTTCATCTGAATGTGTTCTTTAAATAGGCCATTTACTTTTTATATTATTATGCTGTTTGAATAACTATAATATAATAAAGGTTCTAAATTTACTAGTACTGTAAAATCTCTTGTTCTTTTTTTTAACGTATTGGATTATTGGTAGCTTAGGAATCACTATATAATATTTGGAAATCAAGTAGGAACATTTCTACTTTTTATAAAAAAGTTGAATTAATTGATTCAATTTATAACAAATAATTGAATTTTGATTTATTTTTAATATTATTGTTTGGTAACATTTTCCTTTATTTGGACTGAAAAAAAAACACAGTAGAAGCAATATAAAAAAGAAGCTTTAGCTGATAGACATCTATACCACATGCTTTTGCTTAGACCAAAATATTATTTCCAGAGCCTAATGGTTCATCCTGTTTTATTTCTTTGTTCTCTTTTACCCACCTCTTCCTCTTACCTCCTATCCCTGTCCATTAAACCGCTGGCCTCTGTCAGAGTACACAGTAAGTACTCTCTGCACACATGTGCACACACACATTTTGATTGAAGACACTTTGATCCAAGATCTGACATATAAGTTGAAAGACAGCTTGTCGAAACCTGCATTAAACAAGCCATACCTCTTCTAAGATTTTTTTCTGAATTATCTGTTCTATACATATACCTTATTTATTACCTTATTTCCTCTCTGTACACATTGCTAGTTCTCTTAAATTATAACAGTGGTAAAATACATTTTCTTTCCTTGAGATAAAGAAAATGTATAAATTTATACAAATTACACAGAACTGGTGGTTTTTTATGACACGCGATTCCCGTCATTATATGAAATCATTCATTAAAATTTATTGAGTGTTTTTTTTTTTCAGAAATTGTCTAAATTAGTCTGATATGGCCAGTGTACAGCATTGTACTTAAATTCCCTGTAGAGTTTAGCAAATCCCCCAATTTTATGTATTTTTTATTTTGGGCAGAATAAAGTTTTTCAACAGATTCAAATTTAGATGTTGTCTAATGTTTGACATATATATATATATATGATGACCCTCAGTTGAAACACTTTGCAGCAGTGGCTGCTTTTAACAATCAGTGTACATATGGAAAATTGGAATAACAACAATTATAACAGTTATTAGAATATTTCAACTCTTAACCTTTAGAGGGCACTCAGTGAAATAGTTTGAAGCCAAGAGTGTCATTGGAATCCAGGACAAGACCTTATTACCTGTATAGCATTCAAAAAATATGGAAATTATGATGGAAAAAAGTAATGTCACTGTAATAACAAGAAACATGCTTCTATAGGAAATTAATGAAAAACACTCTGAGGGTAAAATAAACTTTTTTTTTTTGGTACAACATAACCATAGAGGCAATAATGCTGATACGGGGACTTACATTTATTTTGTTTATAAACCTAAATATAATGGTTAACTAGGCTTATTAATATTTGAACTTTACTTTTTACCTTTTCAATTAGCATTTTCACCTTGTTTTCTTAACTTGGGTTAACTTTTTTTCCAACTTAATTTACAGTAGGTAATTTATCATTCAAGGGCTCATCTAATTGGTCAAATGCAAAAATAAGATGTACAGCCATGTAGCAGTATCTTCGCTGAATGGCTGGATATAGATCTTGTGCTACTAGACCTTACTGAGGGACGGGAGGGACTCCATTAGTAAGGGGTATGCAAGTGATCAAGAACTGTAACTTTCCCTTTAAAGGGTTCTTAAATCTGTTATTAAATCTATTGTATTTAGCTTCTTACCTGAAAACTGGTTCTCTCTTGATGCTAATTCTTCTAGAACATTTTCTGGGCTATTGTGTATATTTGGCTCCCTCTGATGACCTGTGAGACAGATTACCTTTTAGGTTTGTGTAAAATACCATTAAATATATACAGGATATTTCAACACTTCACCTTGTACTGATGGAGACTGTATTTCACTTAAAGGACATAAAAAGGTTTGATCGCCCATTCTCTTCTGTTAATTACATCAGTTTTAAATACTGCTGAATAGTAGGCAATATTATACAGAATTTTTTTTCCTTTTGTTTCCACATGAACAAAAGGCTTACTTGATTACATGCATCTACCAAAGGAAACAAAATCCTGAATGCTGGATGATCTCATACTCAGATATCCAAAGTGTTAAATAGAGAATTAATGATAGAAATTATTTTTTGATAAAAGACATCATAGTGTAAAAATACTCTATTAAAATTGATGGGCTTTTTTTCCCCCATGCAGTGCTCCTTCCTGCCCAAGTTTTCCATCCACATAGAGAGCAAATATGAGGACAACAAAGGAAGCAATGATAATGTGAGTACAGGTCAAAACCTCACGTTCTTGGTGAAGAACTGTATGTGCACAATGCAAAAAGAAAAATATTGTTTCATCTTGACTTGTCAGTAGAGTTTAGATGGGGACATTTGCTTTTTATCTATTGTCTGTTTTATTGCCTCATCATTTTCATTCTCATCAAACTCTATATTCACTTTTTTTAATGCTTCAAGGCCACCTAATAAATTGCTTTTGATGGAGGTCTTAGTAACTCCCTTTGACTGTGAGGTATAAAATAAAGTATAAAATAAAAGGACTGCTTATTCTGCTGGATTCATATTTCAGCAGGATTTTGCGACAAAACAAAATAAAATCAGGAAAGAATTGATCAAATCAGCTGCCACAAAATACAGATATAGATATATATATATAGATATATATGTCAAAAATTTGTATTTAATATTCAATTAAATGTCCATATACAGTACAACAGCAGCTTTTTAAATAAAAGGGTTCAGTGTAATTGCCATCATATCTAAACAGACAGTAAACAGATATTTCATAGAAACAGTTTCAGATTTTTTTTTCTTATGTATGGAACATGAAATTGTGTCTTTGCATTTTGATGTGTCAAGCCTTTTATCACATCTTAAAGCTTTTTCCTTTGCTTTAGCCTCTACTTTAGAGCTGCTTGATTATTTCATTGGGAAATAAGTCTGAGAGTTATGCAATATTATCCCAAGTTATACTTTAGGCAAAAGCAAAAGTCTGCAGCTCCACTCGGTGGTCCATAATGAGCGGTGCACCAAAATTCAGCTGGTTTCACAGATGGCCATTATTTCACATCTGAAGCTGACCAGAACAAATAGGGCTGTAGATTTGCTCAGTGGAGGGCTTTGCTCCTTCAGCTCCTGACTTAACACCTCATTGCCCCTACTGTTTCCCCTACTGCTTGTATTCTTTCTTCTCAAGTCTCCAACATCACTTGTCCATTTATTTATTTATTTATTTATTTTGTCATAGAAATATGTCTATTCGGAGCCTTATATAATGCAAAAGTATAAAACCATTCAAAGATCACTGTTCTTGTATGATTTTACAGGAAGAAGTCTCTAAAAATAAGGTGCAACTGCCATCTTATTTAGAACCTTATAGCAAAAACAATAAACAAAACAATCACATGACACAATCAGCACAGCCCCATATCTATTTGCATGTGTTGAGAACCAAGGTGTGTTCTGTTGTCCCTTAGATCTTTGGAAGTGAGCCAAGAGAGGAGGAAACAGAGGTGTGTTTTGTGGACATCGCCTGTGATGAGATTCCTGAGCGCCACTACAAAGAATCCGAGGTGAGGAAAGAGACGTGTCTGAATAATAACATGATTCCATGTTGTAAAAAAGTGGGAGAATAGAAATAGGATCAATAGAGATATCCAAGTATCAAATGTTTTGAAAGTATGACACATCGCATGAGATTTTAACTCTTCACATATTTTGGACCACCAGCTGCTCATCCACTTCATCTGACTGATAGAAGAAACACAAATGCATGTAAGCACAAGGGGGGGAGGTGATATCAACTGCAGTGAGTGGATATTTGCATGCACCCATGCTGGTCAATTTACCACGCTGTGACAATCATAAGAAGTGGAGCTATTAATAACCATCAGGAGCCATGACCCTGCAGCACTGCTGTGTTATTATTGACACCTTCTCCACACACCTCCCACCATGATTTAGGGTCCTCTGCTTTAAACTCTAGCAGCTAAGAATAGCTTAGAGGTTATCTAGAGCCAAACATAGATTTAAACAGATATATAACTGAATTAAAAGTCTGATTTTTCATCAGTGCAGATGCCGCCTTATAATTTCCAATTTGATTAAAGATATTTTATTCTCACATTACAATACACAATATTGAACTTTGAGTAGCTTGATTAACCCAAGGAAATGACTTTGGATGGAAACCTTTGAGACTTTTTTTTAGCATTATTTCTTTGTCAGGCCTTTTCAGCACAGTAATAATTAACAATTGTACTTTTTGGATCTCACACTGGAGAAATTTACCTCTGCATTTAACCCATCCCATTGGGGAGCAGAACTCAAAACTGGATTAGAAGCACAATGCCCTAACCACTAGGCCACCACTCCCCCCAAGGAGATGAAACAAGTGGAAAATGGTATTTGTTAACACTATACACTAGTAATGTCGATAGTCATCAAGATGTTCATCATCAATACTTGGTCTGAATTGTCATTGCAATGGGTTCCGATAAGCTGACTCTGTTTTAATGATTATGTGAAGCAAACCGTTTTGTTTTGTTGATGGGTTTTTTTTTTACCGAGACAGACTTTTTAAATCCAGTCTTGATATAATCCTATAACATGGGGGTAATCATTGTTTCTAAAGCTAAAGCTGACTTTATTCATACAACAGCAACAACAATAAACCAACGTGTTGTTCCCGTTGGGGATGTTTTGCATTGTGCTGAAGTTCTTGGCTACCATGTGCATGATTCCTCTATGTTTTAGTCTTACAATTCAGTAAGAAAACTTGCAAAATAGACTTATATGGACTTCAGACTATAAGCTGTTCTTAGCACACCACTGTCAAAGCACAGTATAATGCAGCAACCAGTAACGTCTCTCTATTACTGTGAATGCAACTGCAAATGGTAAAACTATGTCATTTTAGAAGGGAAGAGAACTCCAGCATCACCAGGTCAACAAAGTAAAGAGCAAAGGCGGTAATATAATTCCACAGGTTTATTAAGAAAAATCGGCTTTAACTGAAAATACAACATCTAGCTCATCAGTAGCTGACTTGAGTCGGAATAACTGTACATAAGCAGCTGGTTATTTAAGTCTGTCTCTGTTTTATTTTTATATTTCTTAAAAACAAAAATATTCTCATAATGATATTTAAAGTAGAACAAAACCTGAATGAAAATGGTGTCAGGTAGACAGTTCAATAAACACTTTCTCGAGTTTGTCTGGGATTTCATTTCAACCCAGAAAGAGTCACACAGATGGTGAGCAACAATTAGAGAGTTTTATTAACATGAGAAATATAGCCTTCAGTAGGGATGTTTTGATCCGATATTAACATCCGATATCTGTCCGATATATGCCAGAAAACTAATATCGGATTTTAATTGGCCGGCATCTAAAATCTCTGATATTTTCATGATGATAGAAACAATCTGCTTCTATTGAAAGTTTCTGTAACTCATTGATTAACTTCATAAGGGTCATTTGTTGTTTACTGATGTTCCCTGTTTTAGTGATATCACTTGATCAAGACTTTTCTAACATTCTACAGTATACAATAAGTAAAAAAAAAAAAAAAAAGCTGATATGATTTGTGCTAATATTGTATCTGGTCAATATCTGTTATGGTCAATCTCAAAGCTGAAAAAGTTGTATTGGGACACCCTTAGCCTTTAGTGCTCAGGCTCCAGTAGAAGACATACGAGCAGAGAATTATGATATAATGATTGAGCAGGTCAATTAGGAAGCAGTATCATTAGAAAACACAGAGAGACATCTTTCATAAAATGATGCAATCCCTAATATAATGACATAAAAATTTATTCAGTGAAGTTTTCAAAATCAGTATTTAGATGTCCCAACTTACATGAAAGATTAAAAGACATGGGACGCTGGACTTTTGTTATATAGGAGATGTTTAAGTTTCTTGTCTTTATTGTTCTAAAGGTTTTCAGCTAGTAAAAATCCCTAAAATATGCAGTTTTGGTAGAAAATAAACCAGTTATGTACTACACTATGTTGCCAAAGTATCTACCTATGTCATGTGCTTTAGTCCCCTCCATGTCCACGGATGAATAACTTTGTTTATGCAGAGTTATATCACATTTTATACAGCAATAAGACAGAGATTGATGTTTTCAATCCTTTATTTCATCAAATTATTCACCTTTTCAGCCCATGGATTATGAAAACACAACATTGTAAACTAGGAAATGACATAACCAATAAAAAATGTTCGGTTAATGAAAGAGTCCTATGATTGCATATTAGAGCCAGAGCTTGTTTTTGTGTCATTTTGATCTACAATGTCTATTTCAGAATACCATGTATAGCATAAGAAAAGCAGTTTAAGCGTCATAAGAATAGCTTATTTAGATTTTCAGTATTAACTGAGGACAAAATGTTTTTTTTTTATCTATCCTTGATATTCTTCTGTGATTCAACAGGCTTTAATCCAACTACTTTTATAAGGAGCTCCCTGCAGGGACAAAAATCTTTGCCTCCCTCCTGCACACATTCTCTTTCAGTCAAACACATGTTCACAAAGATAAATGAGCACTACAACATAATTAGTCCACAGGGAGGAGTGATTAATGCATGTTAAGTCTACAATGAAGGACTCTGTCTGAGTACTGTAATGAAAGCAGGAGTTCCTGTCCTGTAGACATAATTCATTATCTATTTCTCCTATATAATCTACTATAATCCAGAGGTTATTCTGAGTAGCAGAGATCTAGTATAAATCTTTTGATTAATATATATTCACTGCAGGAGTATTGATTTACTGTGAACGTCCTCCTTATCCTTTTTGCAGGACCTTAGATATTTTAAATCGAAGAAGACCGACAGAGGGAATCTCCAGGAAGGATGGATCAACACCCAGGACCCCATCATGTGCTCGTACAAACTTGTTACAGTGAAGTTTGAAGTGTGGGGACTACAAACACGTGTGGAACAGTTTGTGCACAAGGTCAGTTTAACAGAACCTCAGTCTTTGATTCCCAATTCTCACTATTTTTTGTTTGTTTGTTTGTACATATCATTGCCTCCAGTTTTCTACTGTGAAACATATAACCATAGCAGTGAACGAAATCTGCTGTTCTCTTATCTTGCCTTTTAACATCTATCCTGGTCACCTCTCACTGTTAGTCCTGCCGGCAGCATTTAAACCTAATATTTCTATCTATTTCCCAGAAGTATTTTTCCCAGCTCTTAGCAGCATTTGTCCTTGGGTCAGACTGTCCCTGTTTGCTCCTTGCCGGAGGCTCATTTTTGACACACACATACATAGACACAGTCAGGGCACTTACTCACAGGGTAACGCTCAGAGTGACTCATATTAATCATTTATTTCTGTGGAGAAACAGAAACATTAACTTGTTTTCAGACTTTCACCTTCCGGTTTTAAGTCAGTATGATTCACATCCTCTCACCTTGAATTGCCTCCTCCACATGTTCTGCTGTGATTTCACCCTCTTATTTTCTAACTGTCCTCAGGTGATACGAGATGTTCTTCTTCTAGGACACAGGCAGGCCTTTGCCTGGGTGGATGAGTGGATTGGTAAGTTTATTAAAGATGATGGTCAGAAGAATAAGAAAGTTCTGATTGGTTTTAGATTTAACCATCTTGAAATTTGTAATGAAACCGAATGCATCAATTGAGTTCATCTTTGGCAGCATTGTGTGAAATATTGAGTTCAAAACGTTGGTGTAGATATTGTTGCATATTTACCAATTCTTACTCGAAAAACCAGCTCAAGATGCCCACAATCAATTTTTTTTTTATTGAATTTAGGTTGGAAGTAAAACTCTAGTACCTTTTGTGAAATCTGTTGTTCTTTCTGTAATAAAAGGGCTCCTCTTTCCATCACTGCTGTAACCAACTGAAATGACTGAAATTACATTTGCTGGTACTTAATTGAATGTTCTTCCCTTTATTGAAGAAAAATTAATTACACAAAACAAATGTCTGATTAAAAGACAATAAAAATATATATCTATATATTTTAAATGTCATTGTTTTTATTAGTGCTTTCATACAGACCTAGAAGAAGAAGGTGTTTTAACTGAAAAAAAAATGTACCTCAGTTTAGTCTTCATATTTGACAGAGATCTTATTTGCTCAGGTTTGTTTCATTTTTTATTTTTATTTTTTTTCATTTCTCAACACAATATAGCTTCTATCAAATCAGACTGTCCACTTAGGAAGCGCAAGTGGAATAGACAAAGGTTTGAAATTATTGGCATTTAGCAAGATACACTCAATAAATGAGTGGTTCTGCAGGTGGGGACAACAGACCACTTCTCAGTACCTATGCTTTCTGGCTGATGTTTTGGTCATTTTTTAATGTTGGTGGTGCATTAAAACTCATGGTAGCATGAGAAAGTCTCTATGACCCACACAAGTTGCTCAGGTAGTGCAGCTCATCCAGGATGGCACATCAATGCGAGCTATGGTAAGAAGGCTTGCTGTGTCTGTCAGCATAGTGTCCAGACGCTGGAGGCGCTACTTGGAGACAGGCCATTACACCAAGAGATGTAAAGGATACCGTAGGAGGGCAACAACCTTGCAGCAGGGCTGCTACCTTTGCCTTTGTGCATGGAGGAACAGGAGGAGCACTGCCCGGGCTCCGCAAAAGGACCTCCAGCAGGCCACAAATGTGCATGTTTCTCTACAAATGGTTAGAAACAAACTCCATGAGGATGGTATGAGGGCCCATTGTCCACAGATGAGGGTTGTGTTAGAGAACACCAGGATTCACAAATTCAACACTGGCTCCATGTGCCTTCACAGATGAATGCAGGTTCCCACTGAGCACATATGAGTCCCTAGGTTCCTCCTAATGCAGGACAATGCTAGACCTCATGTGGCTGGAGTGTGTGAGCAGTTCCTGCAAGATTAAGCGATTGAAGCTATGGACTGGCACTCCCATTCCCCAGACCTGAATCCGATTGAACAAATCTAGGACATCATGGCTCCATCCATCCACCAATGTCCCACTCCTTTCCAGGAGTTGGCGGATGCTTTAGTCTAGGTCTGGGAGGAGATCCTTCATTAGACCACCTCATCAGGAGCATACTCAGGCATTTTTGGGAGGTAATACAGGCACTTGGATGCCACTCACAATACTAAGCCTCAATTTGAGCTGTGTTAAGGACATTACATCAAAGTTGAATCAGCCTGTAGTTTGTTTTTCTACTTTAATTTTGTGACTCTAAATCCAGGCCTCCATTGGTTAATAGATTTCGTTTCCATTCATGATTTTTGTGTGATTTTGTTGTCAGTACATTCAACTTTGTACAGAACAAAGTATTTAATGACAATATTTAATTAATTCAGATCTAGGGAGTATTTGAGTGTTCTGTTTATTTTTTTTTCTTGCCTCTTACATTCAACTGCGACTTATATGCCAGTCAGAGTTCATGTTAGTTTCTCTGTTATTCCAGATATGACCATGGAGGAGGTGAGGGAGTATGAGCGTACCACTCAGAAGGCTACCAATCTGAAAATTGGCACCTTCCCCCCATCCATTGCCATCTCAGAGACGCCTCTGCCGTCCAGCGCCCGCAGCGGCCCCAACAGCGCACCAACAACTCCCCTCTCCACCGAAGCTCCGGACTTTCTGTCTGTGCCAAAGGAGCGACCAAGAAAAAAATCAGCTCCAGAGACCTTGACCCTGCCTGATCCAGGACGCAGGGATTCACTCTTCAAGCTGCCAAGTTTTTTCTCCTGGAACTCCAGTCCGCAACCAGAATGAGGGTTAGGCCTAGACTTTAACCTGTGAATCACTAGAGGATGCTTGCTTTGCACATCCAACGATGCCCCAACTACTCCCTGGCCAGTTTTAAGTGACAGAGGCTTTCCGCAGATCTGGTCATCCCCACCCCCTCAGTAGAGTTGCAGGTGTTACAGCAGTCAGCAGCTCTGAGGCTGCCTTTACGGGTAGAGAGTCCGCCCCTTCAAAATACCCAAGTCATTTGAGGAGTCAAAGCAGAGTTTGTTCCAACATAGAAACCGAAAAGGAGCTGCAACCTCCATGTCTTAGATGTAGAACATCCATCCCAGTTTACAGAGAACAAACCTCGTTTCCATTCAAACTCAGTGTCTAGATATTTTCAGGGTTTCAGTTAGTTCACATTATGTACAGAATTAGATTTTTGCTGTTTCACCCTCTTCTGAGTCTGTGGCTTTATTACCTGAAGCTTTTTAATCTGTGTTTCTATTCATCTGGAAAAGGTAATGACAATGTGATAGTGAAACATTAAGAGTTATAAACTCATATGTACAGTGATTGAGTGATGTATATACTGTATGAACATGAATTAAACAATAAATTGTAAACACTTAATTTGAACTTCTGTGATGAAGTAGCTATGATTTATGTTGCATTCTTTGCCAGACTAATTTTTCCGTGTATCTATAGTGACTTATCTCTGCCATGTGAATCTCTCTTGGTGCCATAATGCTTTAAAATATTTAATAATTGATTGTTTTGTCTTTTGCTCTCATACTGGATGTGTTTTACCCATGGTTTTATGACTGCTCATGCAGTGTCCTCTAGATGTGACTTTGTCTCCCTTCATTTTCAGATAAATATAATTTTTGTATGCATTAAAATTAAATTTAATCCAAAACCACAATTAATTTGTGTGATGTGCCTTTGTTTATGATTAAATACCTTTGAAGTGTTTCAAATTCATTATTGTTTTGCAAATATATATCTGTAATCCTTTTAATTTTCCCCCAAATGCCCTCAAATAAATAACAAAAGTTTATTAGATGCAATAAAAAAACAAAATGGGTGTGAATACTTTGGGCTCTAAATAGCTTAACATTATTCTATTCTTGCTCTTTAGACATGTATTTTGAATCAAAATGTGTTATAGGTTTACATTCTGTAATGGAATCAAAAGAAATAAGTCAATTTTTAAACACTGTTCTTTTTTATTTTAATTCCAAAGAGATAAAATCCTGCAAGTCACAGCAAAGGAAAAATCATGAGATATGAGCAGCTGGCCCGATGGTTTAATTCCAGACAAACTGAAATGATTCAGACTTACAAAAGTCAACAATACATTTGGGTTTTTCCTTGTTAGATACAGTTTATATAAAAATAAATATCAAGTATTTTAATGGAGGTGTTATTCTGCATGCAACGCTAGGACATCAAATGATTTCCCCCAAAAAACTGTAAGGTAACATGAGCAAAGCTGAACAGAAAATGTGCAACATTTCATGAAGTCTAAAGAGGACATCACATGTAAACCTTTAAGTTCCTAAAACACGTTGATATTTCCCTTTTACTCTGTGTTCATGTACTTTCAATACACAATGGAGATTTGACGACACAGAACAGGGAGGGGTGCTGAAGCTGACCCACTGTTGCCACTCTGACAAATTTTAGGAGGTGGTGGCAGCGCAGGAGCATATGACACAAACAGAAGACAGAAGTAACCTCTATAAGAGCGAGTACCAAACAGTGTGGCACCAGTCTCATCAGTAGCTGAAGATACAGGCGGATATATCTAACAGGGATTCTAGTTCCTGTGCTCATTGTTTGATAGATTGACTCTGCATGAATATTGTTCATTTTCCCCCTCTAGCCATCTATCTCCAGTCTGAATTACTCTGTTTAGATACCACTCCCTGTTCTAAACATGTAACAAGACCCAGATTTTGATTACTAATTGAATTTTAAGGTAAAGTGATCATAGTAAAGACATGGCCCCTTTAATGACCGACTCTGCTTGCTTTCAATAGTTGACCCAGTAAAGCGGTTGCAGCCATTCTGCACTGATAGAAATATATCACCCAAATTTTAATATTTATGTAAATTACATAAATTCCCATTTAATTCTTTTAGTTGATTTTTAACAAACTAAATAAACCTTACATAATCACTATTTTTGAATAATAAAGCTTAATTATTTTACATGTATTTAATAATGATAAACTTACTCAGAATTTATACTGAGTGTTTTTAATTCAAATACATAAAGTTTATTGTTTCAATTCCATAAAGGTAACCTTACTATTATACAATTAAAACAAACAAACTTTATGCATTTGAAATAAACTCTTTAGTATTAGTTTTGATCATGTAATGTTTATATAATAGGTTTGTATTAAAAAGATCTAAAAGAAAAAAAAAAGTAAATTAGGAATTTGTTATGTAAAAAAATTAAATAAATCTTAAAATTTGGGGGAAAAGTTTCTGTGAGTGTGTCATCTCAAACATAACATAAACATAAAGGTTGCACAAAAAAGCAAATGATACAGAAATACAATGATATACATGACTAACTTTCCCCTTTTAACATATGTAAACACCATAAAAATCCAAATCCAGAGTCTGTTTGCCAGTTGAGAAATGTGTTCAGTGCAACAAGGCATTAGTGCATTTATAGTGTGCGTGATTGCCTCATTTTCTTTAATTTTTTTTTTTTTATTTCATCATCTCTCCTTTCGGCCACCACTGAGGTCATCAGTTCTCCGTTTCTCCTTCGTGTTCTTCATGATGTTGAGGAAGAACTCATACCAGAAAAAAGTGAAGCCTGTGGACAGAGCCGCCTTCAGGAGGCTGGGAGAGAGGCCTTTGAAGAACCCTCGAATACCTTCCTCTTTGGCTATTTGAACCGCGCAGTCCATCAGGCCTCTGTAGGTCCGCACCTGCACACAGAAACAGGTGAAAACACCCGCACACAAGGCTGGGGTTACTTCATGCATCAGGGAGAAACATGCAGCATAGGAGTTTACCTCTCCAAAGTGAGCTCGGGCTTTCTCAAAGCCCCCCACCTGCAGCCTTTTTTTGAACAAATCAAAGGGGTATGTGAGGGTTTTACTGATCATTCCAGCTCCACTGCCACAGACCAGGCTTCTCAGGTTTCCTGTAAAACAAGGGACACACATGAATGGTTTGCATATGTGCATCAAAATAAAAGCTATAAGTAGTGCAGATCAGCTCAGCTGGACATTGAAATCCTTTGGAAGTTGTGTCTATCTCTGTTACTATGCAACGTTTCTGGCCACTGTTTTACCTTCTATTAAACTTTCCAATAATATGCATAGATTTTAGCCTGTTTTTAAATTAAAAATTAATAAAATACAAACATCCATTTGCAGTTTCTTCCTATATCCTACTAGTAGTGATTTGAAATACTGTTTATTATGACATCATGGATCAACAAACTATTTTTTCACCTAATGATTAGTTTACTTTTTAAAATTAATGCACAGAATTATGGAAAACCTTTATCAACAATGAAACTTTTTTCCCAAAAGTTATTCCAATCCTTTTTTTAAATGAATCAAAATCTCAGCAGTTTTCTCTCCTTCCATGGTCGCGGGGTAAACCCAAACACATCCTGTGGGTTTTTCACTAACCTCCTGAGTCTCTGGATTTAACTGGAGGACTCAACAGCTGCTTAAAGACATTGTAGAAGAAGAACTGCAGTCCAGCATAAGGAAACACTGCCAGCAGAGTTGGAGACAGGCCGCGATAAAACGTCAGTGGCCCCTCAGTGCGCCACATCGTGGACACGGCATACCGCAAGTTACCGTAAACCTGAGGAGGCAGGAGAGGGGGTTTTAAATCATGGCATAGTAATGCACCATCTAGTTACATTTACAGGATTAAAATGAGTTCAAATGGGCTCATATTAAACAACAACAGGATGAATTGAATAATGCAAAAACAAGAATAGATTAAATATGTATTGAAGATGCAAATTTACCAGAATTAGGTTTAAAGTTTCAAGTTTTCTGCCTTGGAAACTAATAAATCGACCCTCAGTTTTCTGTGATAGGAAACAGTCATGTATCTGATCTCTTGTGATTCATTAACGGGACTTTAAACCACAAAAACGTTAGAGACGACGAGAGACAAATGAGGTGTTTTTAAAAAAAAAACATCACATTTGAAACCTTGACCTTCATTCTGCTGGTAATAAATGCATGGTTAACATCACTACATACTGCAAGAATAAACAAAACCCAGCGGAGGACTGAAAATATGGGCTTGCAATCAAACATAAACACCACTATGAACCGCTAAATGGGAGGGTGACAAAATAAAACTTTGATACCAAACAGAAAAAAAAGCTAATCTTTTAATAGAATTTACAGTGATGCCGAAAGAAATTTTGTTTATCTAATGTTGAATGAGATGTATAAGATCTTTGAACTGAAAGAGGCTGTAGTTCGACTCCAGCCACTAGCTAACATGTATAACAAAATTAGGCGTGCAACTAACGATTATTTTGCAAATCGATTAATTTATCAATAATTTTTTTAATTCATCGATTAATAATCGGATACCAAAGGTTCCTTAAGAGTTTTTGCGAAATTAAACCGTGTGAAAGTAAAACTTTTCCACTTGAGGAGTTCTGGATCGATATCGACAGACGAAAAACCTTTTTATCTTAAATGCAAAATGTTAATAGAATTTTTATAGAATTTGGTATAACTGCTGCTCTGAGTCGGTCGCTCTGTCAGCTAAAGGCACAGAGTCTATGCACTCCAGTTAACGATTAATGGATTACTAAATTACTTGATTATTTCAATAATCAATCACCATTGTTTCAGCCCTAAACAAAACTCTAAACTAAACAGAAAAAAATGCTGATTAAAAATCAAGCATTAAGTAATATTCCACCTTGGGTTCTCCCTGAGCTGCAAAGCGCGTCCTCAGCGTGTCCAGAGGCTGGCAGGCCACTGTAGCAGAACAGGCTGCTAGGCCGCCACAGAAAAAATGAACTCCTGAAGTCTGGCTGTCATATGGGGTTGACTTGTGAACCAACTCAGTCAGAAACTCAAAACTGACAAACTGCAAATCACAAGCAAACAACTGGTTAGAAGTTTCATTATGGAAAATTTATATATTGATGAGCAGTTTCCTATTCCAAGTATTTACCTGGACGGCCCCGTAGCAAATAGACAGGAGCTGTGCTGGAATATGACCTTTCCAGAAAGCAGAGAGACCTTCCTCAGAGTAAATTCTTCTGAATGCCTGATATATTCCCCTATATTTCCCCTCAGGGCTTCGTGAAGACACACGCTCAATCTGCAGCTGTGGAAATAAAAAGATCCTATTAAAAATTAGAATTTAATCAAAAGATGCACACTATACAAACACATCACTGCCACCACCTGGAAGAAGCAGTTATATTAAAAAAGGAAGTACACTTTTCAATCATTACCTGAAATCTTATTTTAATGACATCAAAAGGGCTGATGAGGGCTCTGGTGACCATCCCAGCAGCTGATCCAGCAAGGGCTGCCTCATTTGGGGAGGGTGCTGCATTCTGAGCCCTGGGGTCATATCCCACCATGTCTCTACAGCACTATTAACAAAACTTGGGAAGAGCATAAAAGATGTGAGCACGATTCTGAGTGAAAATTAAATCATCCATGTTTTTGTCCGAGAGATCTACACTTATATGATTTAAAATAGTCCAAAAACTTAAAAAAAATAAGTATGACAGTTTGTGGAGGACAGAGAGGGGAAACTTGGATTGAGCTAAGCTATGCTAATTACAAGGCAGCTGTTCAGGTTAGGTCAAAGAAAAAGAAAAAAAGACAGAAGCTATGAGAAATGAGGTAATTTACCTTAAACTGAAGGTCATTCATTAATACAACAGACAGGCAAGCAGGACAACCAATTCCACACTAATTGCATTTGGCTAACATCAAGCCACACATTGCACTTCCGCAAAGTAAACAACGCATGCGCCATATTTCAAAGATAAGTTAAAACAAGAGGCTCATATCCCACACCGAACTCAGCTACCGTGTTTTGTTTTTTTGTTCGTTTGTTTTTTTTTTTTTTTTTTTTT